TAATGCTAAAATTTTTCACACCATCGTCCTATTCCAACGTTTCTGCTACGCACAAGAGCTGTTTCGAGCAAAACTTTATATAAAAGCCTATTTTATTAGTTGCTTCTTCTTTATATGCGTATATTGTTTCCTTTAGTTTTGAGTACTACCATTTAATAAGAGCTCAGAATTGACATTTTACATAAGCTTCCAGGAAAACGCGATCTATCAAATGCGGAAGGCAAGGTCACCCGACTTTCAATTTTGAAAAACTGGGAGCTCTGTAACAAAACAGCAGCAGATCGTATATGATGCCGAAGATTTACCTGACTGCACATACATATTTTTCCATCGTGATTCCAGTTTCCTCCAGCAGCTCACTGAGCTACAGGATTCGCTCTAATATTGGCAGCATGTGAGATTGACATGCATAGGTATTTCCATTGGCACGTGTCCAAGCAGAGTCGGGACATTGTTCACTGTGTCAAGGAGAAAAGTAAATGCAAAAGGCAGTATGTAATGTTAGTTTAGGCCTCTAGTCGTACTGGTGCCAACCTGAAGGCCACGAAAAGCCTCTGCCGGGTTTACTCTAGCGAAACGCCTCGCTTTGATGCCGCCGTAAAAAGGTTTGTTGTTCAATGGAGGTGACCTATAAAATGTAGGTGGCATAACCATCAGATGGGGTCAACCTTGCAAAAGTCAATGAGACCGAGACGGTACATTCATATATATCAATACATTATATGAGGCTACGCAGTTGTCGCAAAAATCTATATACGTGGGCATAACAAGCGGGTCTCTCAGAACCATTTAGAGTATGCCAGATTAATCGGCTTGGCGTCTCCGGGTTCAGATTTCGCCTTCTTACACAAGCGCTGTATTCCAGATTACCATAGAAACGCACGCTTTGTATGTTATTACGCCACAAATATGCGTATACATTTTATGTACTCTTCTGTAACACGTTAAACGAAATTTAGAATGGGCTCAGATTACGTAAGTATGAGGCCATTAGTTACAAGAATTTTTCTACCCTGTAGGAATATAGGCATAACAGTTCCACTCGCCTATTTGCGCTGATCGGCATCCAGTTGCCGTTTAGTCGCCTGAACCATTATAAACGAAACCGTTCCTACGTCAGCCTACAATTGTACAAATCGTACAAAGCCGTTCTACGCAATAATCGATCGGTGATGTAAACTAGATCCTGTGCGCAATTTTACAGCTAAAGAAGATGAGTCATCTTAGTCAGAAACAACTAGGTATTTAAATAGTCGCTACTGTAACACGAGAGCGGTACTAACAATTGAAGACCTCAACGTCAGTGTACTTCCTCTGGTTAACCATTGTAGTGCCGTTATCGAGGTTACCATTTATAATAAACGGATGCTCTGTTATTTATTTGTATCAATCTTTGAATTGGGACATCTCCTCCAACGAAATTGGTACATTACTCTCGTTACCCCAAAGGTCGCTTTTTGATGTTTTCGCGTTTCGAAGCCTGAAATTCATCAAGTGGTGCGTTTTGTCGAATTAATGCCTGGTGCATTCTTTCCGAGCTGCCGAACAGATCTTGAATCCCTCTGGAACGCAAACGCCTATCTCTGGCTGCAGCATATTTGGGCAAAAGAAATTTACGAAGTTAAATATGATACGCCCTTATAAATTGGTCTGCTGATAGCAACGGAATTCAAAATACCTAGATCAAGTACACCTTCTTTAGACTTCAGCGATCAGCCCAAATCTAGTGCATGTGCACGCTGCGAGATCACTAGCTGAAACCAAACAAAGAAAAAGTAAACTATTGTATAATAAATCCACCAAACCACTGAGTAGTAAGCAACATAAAAATGCGTCGCTATTTCAGCGTCATCGTCGGCATGTCGAGCGGGTTGGCACTCTTTTGTGGTATCACAAAGGTATTTATGCGCGTAAAGCTTCAGCGGACAAATAAAGGGATATATGACCAAGGGTCACATTAAACAAGCGCAATGCGACATTTCTAATTGACGTCTAGTGCCTCGGAGTTTCGAGTAATCATCCTTTTTACTTCAGACATTTAGCCCTTTAAAGCACTGGCTTTAATAGAGAATTGCTACATACAATGTGTCAAATAATAATAATAGCCGTCAGGTATTTTTCCGTCAGATACTTAGTACGTTCCTCCGATATGAAACAGAAGAACTCATTACGCCAGTTTACAACAAATTATGACAAGCGGCTTATTTGCAAACGATTTGTCGCGTACGCCCCGCATCCGTACCGAAAATCGAAATCAGAACTCCAATTCTGTGGATCTGAACGAAGCAGAGCAATGCGAAGTGGACTTTCAGATCGAAGGCCGTCTATGCTCATAATGAAATATCAAGTGGTACGGTGATCGCGTTCCATGGTAGTACGTACTGGGTTGTAGCGCTTTTTAAGCGGCTAGTACAGATAAAGCTCTTCTAAGTACAAATGTTTCAAATAGAAGATGTACGATTAAGTATGAAACAAGACGTTTTCCAGAAACGCCCAGGATCCGACGTGTGATAGACGTCTCACAGCTACTTACTAAAGATCCAATCGAGTTTGAACAAACACTACCCAATGTCATTTATCGTCATCAGATTGATACGCCACTCGTTTGTGAAATGGGCTCAGTGCTAGGAAATAAATGTTGTTGCATAAACCGGTCTAAAACCTTCACCCTTCACGTGTTTAAAGAGAATGCCTTCATGTGAGGCCGTCACGAGTCTTTTATTAGTATCAGCTTCAGTGAGTGTTCAGATCGACAATTTTAAGAGTCAAACGATCCTAACTCTGTTCCGGTACAGTGGAGCTCCGTCGGGGTTAACTGGTAGAACTGGTGTATCTATTACTTACTAGCTACCATCTAAAAAGCAAAGGCGTGCGACGCTCGGCCGAGCGACGCTCACTGCTATGCGGGAAGTTTCCACAGAGTTCAGCTGCTCAACGAGCAAATACCTGCGGCAGGCGCGTCATCCCGTTCTCCCCTCTCTTGTCCACTCTACCGTCACCCATAGCAAACGCGACCCTATTTGTAAATTCGGCCGGTGCTTTAACTGGTGCAACAATCGCAAAGCCTTCATTGTCCTACCCTGCTTAATTGTGATGTCGCTAGCGGTTTCTCCTGCGCACCTCCAAAAACCTGCTGCTACCACCGCTGGATACCGGTTGTTGAATCTGTATGTTTACGCTGCGCGTTTTTCTATCCGTGTGCCCAGTTCATCGATCCATGGTATATATATATGTGTATACACAGCATGTGTAAGGAAATATAATCTTAATCTATGAGTGCATATCCGTCTCTGGTTGCATAAGAGCAGAACAAGCGGCTATCGACTGTTCGTTCCTACCAGCGAACGACTTGATGATACCAAGAGCTCAGACATACCTATAGGAGACGTCTCGACTGTGCTTCTGCTCATGTGCATAGAACACGACAATACGGAACAGGGTTCAGGACGAAACTGTACGATCGATGTCTGGGAAACCCACTTGGTCCTTTTTTTGCCGTTACAAAAGGAACGGTCACAAGATTTGAACGGTTTTTGCGCGAACCGAACTGAACGAGCTAGAAGTCAAGCATAAATTCAGCGTGTTTCTCGAAAACGTCTGGAAACGACCGCAAAATCTACTTTCGCCTCCTCATCGTACCAACTAGAGTCAGTTGTTGCACGAACCTAGTTCAACTGATTCCAGCTTACATACCGGTGAAGTTCCGGAACACAACCGATCCAGAAGCGTATCGAGCGTAGAGGAAACAAGTTGTTATCCTTATTCTGAAGGGATGTATAAACGTGCAGGGCCCATGAATAGGAATTGCGGTTTACGGAACAAGGTACAGCGGAGTGGCAAGTTTCAGTTGTGTTGGCACTGGGGCTTGAAATACCACCTTCAATAAATCGACCCTGGCGCATCAACCAGCCAGCTCTCGGGGGGGCGCCGGTCATCCAGAAGTTACAAATGGGTAAAAGGTCCTCGTGACAGGTTAGTGGTTAACCTATTTGCCTGCTACTCTTAGGGAAGCGTTGTAGGTTAGGTTCGAACCCGGGAATAGACAGACACACTTACTTACGTACTGGGAGCCAGCTGTCTGACGGAACGCCTAACAGCGACACCGCTCGTAAAGCTCGAAGCATAAAAATAGGTATAAAGTGAATGAGTTCACCTCTAATGAAGGCACAATGTCGAACCAAGTCAAGGGGATAGCGACCACCGTCCTGGCAAATCAGCAGATTTTTTCGTGTTCAACCTCCGTACGCCGAGTGATGGTAGTTTTCTGGGTACGGGTATTACAGAGTTCGCATGAGACGCATGCGGGCTTGGAGGGGAGAACGCTGGAAGTGCGTTCTTCGCTGCTTCTTTAACAAGAAATTCACGAATGTTGGATAGTGAAAGAAGATGAACAGCAACCCTCTTACACGAAGTGAACAGCCGCTATCACGCGGGGCGTCAAAAGCGCGGTTGTGCTAAAAGTGAGAAATGCTACCGGAGAAGCGCACGAAGATATATCTAAAGAAATTTATATGAGGTAAGTGGGCGCTCTGTAACAATCAGTCCAGCCGAAAAAATGTGAGAAAGTTGTAACGGAGGGAATCGTACGTTGACCTACGAGTAAATACATAACAAAGTGGATTTAAGTCCAAGTGCTTCAATACGTATCGCATATGACTAGGCTCAGAATTTAATCCCAACGGTAAGAATAAGTTGTGTACACAAAGGTAGTAGAGTACTGACTAATTATAATAGCATTGTGACGCACAAGTTAGGAGTTGTTTCCCTGACTGTATCTATCATCGACTGAATGTTGTTTTTAGACTATCCGAAAAGATATGCTCACTAAAAAGGAACAGTTCGGGAATAAGCGAGCAAGCAAGTTTTCCGTTCAGAGTCCTGCACTACGTATGTGTACTGGGCGAATACGTTCATTCGCGCACTTTTTCCCCATCATCATCGTTACCATTATATAGCATCTATGGAGTATATGCTAATCTATATAATAGCTTCATACTCACGTCAATATACTATTAAATGTAATCTTCTCCGCTAACGATGATATATCGAGTGAATCCAGAAAGGTTATTCGGATAGCATAACCATACTGAACAGGTACAAATCTAGCTAACTGGTGACAGGTGAGTCCACACGTCGTTCTACACACCTCGGTCTTTTGTAATGAGCAATGTTACGGTGTTCTAGATCTGTGCAGTAAGAAAAAAACAGACCCTCAGGAGCGCGCACCGTGTCTATTTGTCATCATTGTGACATATATTTTACAATGGTGTAACAGCGCGCGACAAGTGCTTGTTAATCTCTCAGAAAGTTTGTCGCTTCGATACAAAAAGTTCATTTCTTTTTGACAGCAGGTAGATGGCGGCGGAAAACGTGAAGTCGACGCACCTCGTCGTTGACGCCCCGCACGGTCACAAGAAATCAAACGGAAGTTTCTTCACTTTAGGCGGTCGATGAGTCCAAATCACCAGGTATCCGCCTAGTGTCGCTACGTCCAAAGTTGACTACGTTTAAATTGTTAGTTCACTTGCCGCGAAGCACAAACAAATGCCAGGTGATTATTATTATTCGAAACGTCTGGAGCCGCCACTGAATCTTTTCGATTCCCTTTCCCACTTGGTTCATTCGATTGCACTAGAAGTAGGATAAGTGAATCGTTTAAACTGGCACTTAGACGTACAAATAACTTTAAATTGCGGCCGTTTTGGCCTAACGAATTTCATCCTACACACTCCACAGCACCGGACTGCTCTGCCACCCTTCGCCACATTTACTGAAACTAAGCAACAGGAGACTAAATTAACAAATCAGAAGCGTTTGTTCTACTTCTCGATAAAGTTGCTAAAGTGACAAACGCCCACAGTGGCAATGTAAAGCTCTCTGAAAACGCGATTATATAGAGAAAAGCATCATATATCCGATGTTCTGGTCCGTCTGTTATTACATTCTGATTTTCTTGGTAGCCTGCTATTACACGGGTTAGCTCTACCTTCAAGTGGTTGTGTAATGTTATCGTTACAAATCTTATAGAGTCTGTCCCCGTGTGTACTTTCACACTGCTACGGTGAACGAGCAGACGGTCGTGGCGCGTTCGCACAGTCGGGACAACGGGATAAATGGGTCCTCAGCTAGGAGGCGCCACCTTCGCTTAGAGGACGAACCTAAAAAGGCCCGCGAATTTCGAACTCGTCCCCTGCCCCCGATCACCTTCAAGAGGTGCTGGCCAACCACTAGAGAGAACGTAGCTACATGACACAATCAATAGGAGACCAGCAAATATGTCAGAACCCATTCGTTCAAAGGTAAGGTTCGCCATAACCGATTGAGGGATCTCCGTCGAACCTAATTCAGCTAAACCTAGCTTTCAACATATACGGAGTTGTGCATGCCAGTGTGTGTTGCACGCAATCGCAATAGTTAATAATTTAGCGCATAGAGCCTTAGCATTGCCCGGTAAATACACATCTAGTTCCATTGTTTCCCTAACGATTAATCACAAATAGTTGGTTTTTGTAAAAGCTTGATAGATGCTTTGCGGGATTCAAAATATATGTTTTAAGGGCTGTTTTAAAAAAGTTAAGCAAACGCAAAGCTCGTGTCTATACGGGAGTGCAATAGGAGCAACGTCGGAAGCCCTTGGCCAATTGATATTTAACTGGAATATGCCTTCGTTTCGTAACGTACAATAAATATTGCTTTAAATAAGTTAGCTTTTACATGAATTAAAAAAAGGCTGACTTTGTTACTTAACTTATTGATGATGTCGAGTATATCCGCTCTTTATTTAGCTATAATTCTTCTTCGAGGTCAAAAGTAACACAGCAGATGTTTATATATAACTACAATACTCTCATATCTGATAAATGTTTATCAGTTTGAAAGCCTGCATGTTACTTCTCGCTTGCACAGAGCTCTATCGATTGCCATGCCATAGGGGATTGGTACTGCAATTCTCGGACCGATTCGCCTATGACTGCTTTAAACTTCGGATGGTAATAACTTCTAATCGAGTTTTGTTGTTTCGCATTGTACGCGCTAAGTTGATATATAGGCTTACGATCTCAAGCAACTTAGCATCGAGTCGCTGTGTTATGGGACTGGGTAAGAGATCGAAGTTAGATTCGACTACACGGTCGCGTGAGAGATACACCACGCTATTTAAAGTTTTTTCGTTTTTTAGATGATCTTCAGCATTCAATCAACGCTCTCAGTCTTTCTCGATACAATGTGCAGGTTTGCATAACCGGGCTCGTTCTTAGACTTCAGGTGTTCAGCTTAAACGTATGTACATTAACAGACAAGAAAGTAATTTCGATTGGTACATTCAATAATAAAATTAATAATAGCTAGGACCTCTGTCACTTTTTGCACCTTTTCGCCGCAGTAAAAACATTCCATGTCTATTTTAAATTCAATTGGCTTTGAACTTTTGTCTCACACAAAATGTAAATTGCGTAATAAGTCGGCCACTTGAATGAACGTGTGGGCTTTCAATGGTTTACGCAAATACGAGAATCAAAGCTGAAAAATCATCAAAAGAATTATGAAGAAAAGAAAAGGCTATGATGGCGAGCAAACTTTACTTTCTAGTTTATCGGATCTATTTTACTATAAGCATTACATAGAATCAATTCAATTAAAAGGTAATTGGGTGTGGTTCAAGGGTAGTGGTCGAGGCCGGCACGCCTGAATAGCAGCCTAAGCATATTCTCAATAAAATGCATCTATTATTTTTCCTGTCCGCATCTTGATTTAGTTTTGTGAGACTTGACGTTAATGTCTGCCAATTTGTCTGGGTCTTATGCGCATGCTCCGAACACGACAACTCGTTACCAGGTTTATCACGTTACATCCAAATAGCCTAGTTGTGTATCAGTAGATAGATCTCTAGCGAAATTTTGTAAATTGATCTTGTGTTCTATTTTGGTAGTTAATTTACTTTTCGTTCCGGAGCATATTTCATAGCTGACGCGCGAAAATTGTCGACGCTTCATCCCAGTCTGATAAGATGTTTAAAGTGCAGCTTTCATTCAAGTGAAAGGACCACTCGAGAGCAATAACGCCATGTTAGCTTTCATTGACAGGGCGAAAGAGTCTCTGAAGGCCGTCGAGCGGTGCTATTCCGCAATCCTCGTAACACCGTCCGATGCATTAGGTAATATTAGTGTGTCTCCAACGCTTCGTGAGGTTGAGGAGTTTATTACCCAAGGTGAGATTTCAAACCGAAATTCATCATGTGACGTTTTTGTTAGCAATCATTTCGCCGCCGTCTCTCGGGGGTACAATAATTTTTGCCTTAGAAGCGTTACCTCATTGAGGAGTGTAAGTACAGATATTGAGGGCGATGGGTTTTTCTACAGTAACGGAAGAGTCAATTATTATTATTATTATTATTATTATTATTAGCATTGTTGGAGCAGAGGAACCCAGTTCGTCAGAAAATATCTGCATAGATGGACTGAGACAATTTTTTCTCTCCACATATTAATGCCCAGAAACGGACGTGAATCCCAACGAACTTCGATGTCGAGTCGAAGATATGACAACCTCGTGTCGGTCAACGATGGGAAATATCTCTGACGCTTTGACGACAATCATATTTGACGATCTTTCCAGATTGTTGCGAACTGGAATGGTATATAGCAAGATGGCTGCTCGAATGGACGAACTGGCAGAAATGGTGAGTTTGTGGCAAAGATGCGTCGTTTACTTGTTTAGCACGAGGCAAGAGCACGTTGCAGACATCTTGTGCTTTACGTGAGCGACAGGTCTCTCTGTTTGTTCCCTGCTTTTTAAGTACGTAAGAGAATTTACGCACCTTGATTAGAACTGATCATTTTTTGAGACGACAAACCCCTTATTGGCAAGCTAATTCAAGAGTAACATTATTGTAAGTAGTAAGTAATAAAGACAGCTTTACCTTATCATTTCTGTAGGATATCGCAATAGAGGGCCAACTATCTAAGGCTAACGAATATCAGCGTCGCCTTGAAAGGGTGCGTTCAGCTCGAATTCAACTAGAGCATGCATTCAATGAACTTGTAGAAGGAGACCAACACACTGATCCACAAATCAGTGTAAGTGCCGTGGAGATCGCCAGTTCTGAGAACCCACAAAATGATACATCAGCGGACCTCATTTCAAATTACGCCGATGCAGATTCACTTCTACCGCTCACTCCCGCCACTTCGCTGAAGTAGCCCACATGGATTTTGAATCGGTGATGACATCAACCAGAAATGGCAGGAAGGTTTAAAATATTCTTGAAGGAATTGTATTGAGGTACTGTTTAATAGAAACTATTTCGGTAAAAAAATATTCGAAAATTCAAGTAAACACGCTAAAATCGTGGAGTTAGCTAATTCACCGAGCATGAATTGGATCTAGTGAGTCTGCTCCTGACAGTCCTTTAACATCTTTTAAGTATAACAGCACTAGGGACACAGTCAAACGTGGCGTATATCTGCCTTTTAAAACGGGAGTTTTTTTTGTCTAGCCATAAGTTAATAAACAACAATCCTTTAGCGAGTAGTAAACTCACGTGTTGAGACAATTCAACATACTTTCTATTTTGATAATGTTTTGTAGATGATATTGCGAATCTTTATATGAACTTAAGTCTAACTCGATCAGTTTTAAAAACCATTACTCGTAAGCGAGTCGTCCACTGCAGAGTGTATCAGGCTAACTTTAGTCTACTCAAATCAGGAGAGTACCATTTTAGAATATCGGGGTAAATTACCTGTGGTGGAAATTTTTGTGTGCCAATCAGGTAGGCAGCATTTCTTATGGTCTTACAATTGTTAATAATCAAGAATGGTAGTTTTATTATCGTTAAGGCACTTACTTAGGAACATATGCATGTACCTTCCTGTGCAGTATAACTTAGCTATGTAAAAAAAAGTGCTAACTTGCTAAAAGTCGATAGAAGTGTATGCGGTTTAAGTTAATTAAAAACTGGGTTTCACTAGGTCGACTATGTTGACAACAGTCTAGATTAAAGTGTAATATTCATATACTGGAGATTTCCTAATAAAGTAAAATAGTCTTGTACAACAGAGTTCTCTTCAGCGATGACTTATTTGTGAAGCATATCTGTTCATCTATTGCTTGGGCTATTATTTTATACAATATAGCTATTCAATTAAATGGCGAAATGGATAATCCTTTACATGATGGCGTCATTCATGGCTTGACGCCAGGAGGAGGTTTCCACTGAATCTTTGATCATTACGTTTTCGTAAAAAGAGGCTGTCTAAGATCATGTTGTCCATACATATTAATACACATCCTTGTGAGTTACTAACGTGCTGTTAATCTGTCACTAATCAAAATAACAAACAATTCAACCAGATTGAGACGATACTTCCGTTCGACCTTTATACAGCACGGTAATGTGTCTCGATACGTGCTAGATTTAATGCACATGCGTTACCATTTTCCAGTTGTCCAAACACGATCATTATATCAACTTCTAATTCTGTTTCTGGTTTTTATTTGCATTTCTTTAATTGCCTCAAAAAGGTCACAGGGAATTGGCGCCAAAGCATGGCGTGCAACTTTCCTATAATGAAAAACGTAATCCAGGTAACGACGTGCAGGCAGAGAATAATAACATATTTTCCCTATGTTCAGGTTTATATTGGGAGGCAGTATTATGCAATTCCCCTAGAACTCTTTTGAATGCATTTCACAGCTTTCGGAACCAATACAAAATTCCCTGATGAAAAGAAGCCTAAAACAAATGACCTAAATCTGCCATTTAAGTGATGCCAAAAACATTGTACCTTTACCCGACATTATATTTGTATACCTACACCTCGTCACCCGAAAGGATACGTTAGGACACATCCGGTTCCTTTTTGAGCGCAAATAATGTTGAAGATTTACCTGCTAGAGTTGTTTCCAAGAGTTCGTTTATCACGAAGCTTTTCGTATCACTTGTACACGCGGTATTGATTCGTAGTCTAATCTCTAGAAGTCTTCGTCTAGCATCGGTACCACTTGTGAACACTTGACTTTGTTTTGAGCGTTCTTCATTCAGGATTCATGTATGCACTTCATTCAAGTTTTAAATCACACACTTCGGAGCTTTTGTCATTGGCAAAGTACATGCTTGAATGTTCTGAATTTGGGCCTGTGGACGGGCAGGCAAGTGTATTACCGACAAGCCCGCTCATGGGTCAGTTTTTAACAAAGCGTTTTATCGATACTTTTTTGATTCAATTGTAGTCCTCTCCAGTTGTACCTCGTTCGTGCTTAAATCGTGCGCACAAGCATGTCCTTCAAAATTATGAATTATCTATTTGTAATCGAACGCTGCCTTTGTATTCTATTGAGAAGAGAAATGTTCCGTTACCTCTTATTGTTATAATGAATCAAACACATTAGCGAATATTATATCTAGGCAATGATGTTGAATGAAAAAAAGATGTCTGTTTTAATATCTTATGATTTACAAGGCACCGAATAACCTAAAGGTACCACCTGTTATCTTTTTAAATCTCTGTTAAGACTCTGATATCGTAAGTATATTAGGTAGGCTGAAAATGTACGCTAGATGCAATCAAAAAAGTCTCATAGCTAAGCAGGCTTTTTTCCTCAAAACAAAAAGCGCTGGCAGAAAGAGACTACAAGCTAGCGTATACAAAATCAAAGTTCAGGCTGCTAAAAGGGCTTCTGGAATGCATAAAAAATGTCAGCGGAAATAATTCTGTCATTGTATACTATACAACTTCGTAGTTAACATCATGATCCAAGATAGATAGGCAGATTTCAGCTTGGCTTGGTTTGTTTACAGGTTTCATTTAATGCTACTACCGTCTTAGTGTTTACAAAATTATTATAGGATGCAGCCGACTCATCTGAATTTCATCACCGTAAGAAACCTCCCCTCTCGACATAATCTGTCATAGAAATCTTTTCAACAACTTTCTCGGTCTCTCTCGTCCTATTTCCTACTTGCCGAATGGTCCTTAGGTTTTCTAGTGAAAATAAAATCTTTCATTTGCAGATGAGGTAGGCAGGCGACTGGTTTTCGAAGCAAAACAAAAGCAATGGTGACCCTCACTTTTGCGCTGGTCCTTTACATTTGAAACCAAGTCCTCGAGAACTTTACGAATTCCAGATAGGCGAAGTCGCGCCCTGGGTCTTCATATTATACATAATATGTGTAAAATGTGTATGCCATATCAAGGTTTTCTCCCTTTACCTGCCAGTGTGCATACGTTAAAATATGCCAGCACGGCTAAACTAGTTTTATGAGTGGGCACTCCTTCAGCTTTGGAAAAACAGGAGTCAAAAACAAGTCTAATTAAACGAAGGAATGTAACGTCCAAGTGCTAACAACTCCAAATTTTGGACTGTGTAAGGTCATAAAAATTTGTCAATTTTCATTTTGTCAGGCTTGCTAATGTCCTGAAAACGGGCCTACTTTTGGTTGACAAGAAGACAATCTCAAATACGAAGGCATTATGATGTGACGTGGGTGGCCCAGACGGAGGGTATATGTCGTTTGAAAACCCGCAAATTTAGGTCAGTTTGTACGTTAGACAACATTTTCGCTTATTAACACGGCTGCTCAAACTTCATCTGTTATCTCTTAAGATTGACGAAGAACGAGTACCGTTATGGCCGTCTAATATCCTTTTTCAACCGTCTAATATCTGAATCGGTTTATAGAGAACACCAGGATTTACCTTGCACATATATAACATACGTACAACACAATACGCATATAATTTACACCGAATTCTCAAGAAATGAATGTAGGACACAAGCAAGCGGAATAACAGACGTACTTTATAAAGGCAAAGCTTGATGAAGGGGCGGGTTTTGCTTGATTTCTCACACGCCATTAAGAACTCTAAGCGTCGTCACCTCTTTTCGTTAAACCTCAGCGTTCCATTCCTAGCCGATTAATTTCACCGATGGTGGAAAAGCGCTAACCGGAAAAATATTTTAGAGCGTTTAATTTCCTAAATAGTGAATCATTCTCAAAAACCCAAAAGTAGTTTATGAAACTTCGATTTTTTCCAGGTAGCTGTAATGATAGTCATGCATTTAGCATGCATTAAGTACTCTCATACCTAATCCCTGTTTAAATGCAAGGAAAGCGACGTTGCGCGTATGTGAGCGATAGCAATTGTGGTTTATATGACGCAATCGTCGTTCCAATCGGCTGGCGCGACCGACCAGTAAGAGCGCAGCTGGTGGTTGGCTAAGAAACTGTAAATTCAAATGGAAAATTTCATCCAGTTTTATCTATTTATCAATATACTTTCTTCATACATGAGCAAAAATCATCTTGTTATATAGAGATTTGAAACGAGCTTACAAAAAGTAAAAATCAAATTTTAAAATCTTCTTGCTCCCTACATGATGTATATCTATTACGATTGGGCCCAATCTAATTTGTGGCAGTAATCCGATTCAAGGGATGGCGCACCTTGTTCGAATTGGATGCGTCCTAATTTTACCAGCATAGCTATATCCGTGCCCTTAATTAAAAAAATGTTCATTAGTTCATGAGCCTAACGCATTTATATGTAGCTTATGATTCTCAGTCAAATTTCACATTATATTTCCTGCGCGAATAGACGTCCATTTTTATTGTACATAGAAAAGACGACAATAGAATAAACAATTAATAACTCGATAGTAACAACGAAATAGATTGTGTAACATTAACGTCTCGGCTTAAATGCACTTAGACTTATTGACCTTCCTCAAAACTAGCAAGAATAAAAGAGATACACATTTAAAGGTAACGCTCCGAAGTGCTACATATACGCCTTAGTCACCCAGACGTGACCAGCTTCTCTTTTAATTACCTTTTAATTATCAAGACCAGCAATCAATCGATAAACAAATAATAATAGAGGTAGGTTGATAGAAGAAAAAGCAAAGCCAACACGTAACACTTTTGTCAACCTCTACCGCCAGATAGATGGTAACATAGGTTAAACGTTGAATTGCGGTACAAGAATTGCCTAGAATGTTTGTAGGTTTTCGAGAAATTCGATATCGTGTATTTTGCCTTTTCTTCGTTCTTGGCTTATGGAATGGCACGAAAGTCTGCCCTATGCAACGAATCCGGACAACTCAGAGGCGAAATATTTTATTTCCGCTAAAAAGAATCGACACAATGGCTTACCTGAGCACCTTTGACATTACATTACCGTAATTGAAATATATTTTCTATAGAGCATAACGCTAAGCAGAGGTACTATATCTCACCTCTTTTGAAAAAAGCGTTTTAGATCAATGCCACTTTCAAGTTTAGCTATAATGAGGTTCCTCTAAACCGATTCAATCTAATTTGACAATGATAGCTTTGTCCTACAAGGGCGCCGATTGCTAGCAAAACGTATGGCTGACTTCGATATTTCGATAACAAAATGTCCTTCACTATTGGTAAAGATTTTTTTAAACATGTATTTTTAGCCTTCTGAACGTTTTTAGTACGTTAAAAGGGTAAAGCTAGAAAATATGTTAAGTTTCAATAAGGAATTTAAAGGAAGATCAATCACAAACGTTATGTTATATGTACAAAAAGATGAAATGTCAAATATTTCAATGGCTACGCGTGAATAATAACTGTATTGGCACTATTACACGCAACGTTCCGAATCTGCTATTCTGCACGCGCTACTCTGTTGAGAAAGACAAGCTCTGTCAATATGATGCTCACGTTCACGAACATGGCACGACAGTTTAGTAATAGAATGACTGCAGCGCCTTATTATACATACTATAGCAATAAAAATAAGGGCAATGTCCGCTAGATGTTCAGAACTTGAGGGCCGAACAAACATCTTTGCTAGCCCCTTAATTACACTAATGCAATTCTACAATAGAATAATTATAATAAAGATTGCCATTAGTAATTATAAAGGTGTGATGAAGCCTCTCCGTTTATCTGACATGTTTATAAATAATCATCTCGTCATAATTGCACATCCCCGGTATTTTTCAACCTGAAACAATAATAATGAGTCCATACTACGAGTCTTGTCGAGTGCAGACGATCTCAAAAAAGACTTAGGGCTCGGTCAGACTGCTGTTTCGTGATGAGAAAGAAATTTTCGGAGGGAAATTAGTGACACGCAAGCCGAAGTGTTAGTAAAATAAGTACCAAAGCATAATTACCAATGACAGAGGAAGCTGCAAATTTAGTGGGTACTATGCTTGAATAACGCTAGTTAAACTCCACAGTCCGTAAAAGAACCTAGAATTGATCTCCAGTACTCACAAACGAGATTTACGTAATCATTTTTTAAAAAAAAGGCTGTTACAGATTTGTCAGACAGGGCAATACGGACGTGGTAAAACATTAAATATAAATTTACATCGAAATTACTTATTATACACGAACAAATCTATGAGGAAAAGTAGTGTCTACTAGCAGTTTATTTTTTAATGTATATCCAAAGGCAGCGGTCGGAGTAATCACTGCCGGAAAGTGGGAACGGATAGATTATTTCAGTATACTTATGCAATGTCGTCAATCGGATGACGTGCTTAACCCGCATAAAGAGTAGAAAAAAAACTAATGGTCAAGCACTATGGTTACGTTTTTAATCATTCAATTGCTAAAAAAATTATCAGACAATCAGTAGAAAAGTCAATGACCAACTAGGGCGGTGACGTCGAGCAGAACTCTATAGTACATCCCTTATCGTTACTTGTATATATATATATATATATATGGATGTAAAGATCTACGACATGTAGCGGCTCTGTGCTTCGCAAGCGTTAAGCATTATGGGAACGCCCAGGCCGAGATGACTCAGTATGAGTAGTAACCTAGCATGACTCCTATAAGTCCGACATGGCCCCGTATGTACTCTTTCATCTTTTCATTTTATCGCGTTGGACAAAGTTACCCCAAACGTGAGGGTGGTGCGCTAGTAGCTTAAGTTCCGATTTGATCATTGAGATTGTTTTTAGCAAACTGTGGACGATATACATGTATCCGATATTATCTGTCTTCACACCAAAGCCAGGAAGAATCAGGAAGTGGAAGAACAGGACTAGAGAAGCCGATTTTTACTTTACTTACTTCGTTTATAAATAAGGTACTTATTTTGGCTGAAAATGAGCCTCCAATATATACAGTTATAAGCCTGTCTCTCTGTGTAATTATGGTAACTATGTAAGTGTACATACAGCTGACTACTGACCTAACCTTAGATTTGCCTCCTAAAAACTAATCAATTGGTTTTATTCACTTCAGTGATCAGGATTAATGGAAGATCTACAAAATCCGACCTCCCCAAATCGATTATGTATATTATACACAACGAAGTGACCACGTCCGATGCGTGCAAGCCCTCCAAAGTAACCATTGGTCTTCTGACTTAAAAGATTTTCTCCATTGTAGCTACGTGGCGTCTGGTCAGCCAATAAAAATAGGTAGTCGCACGAGAGCGATTCCCTGTCCCATGAGATAAAATGAATTACCCAAATAAATAAGATCATATATTATATTTTGCAAGCATAATGAAAAGACGAAGCCACTGCTTAATTTATAAGCAAACACATGTGAAGACTTGTGTATGGGAACATTTCATTGCATACATCAGCGACAAGAATATTTTAATATGGAACAATCGTAAGCATATCTGAGAATGAGAACGAAAGCCTGAGCTAACCGCCAAGGTGAACACACGATTCAAACATTAGTCTGTGGGAGGTCAAAACGATGTTTACACTTATCTTTCCTTTGTACTACTCAAGACCAGTAAAAGCTCTGTTTGATATGTATTCAAATTTGAATGTGCCCCAGAGAATGTGACCTGTGTCCTCAACGCAAAAATTATACTTCAAGTGAAGCTGCGGTATTACATTTATGAATAACCACTTACCGATCTTACTTTCATATTCAGGGAAACATTAGTAAAATCTAGCCTTCTATCTCACCCTTTATCGAAGACCCGTTAAAGAAGGATAAGAATACCTAAATTCTAGGAATTCCTTTTCATTGTATAATGTACCTGTATTGCTAGAGCAGCAACCCCTAGTTATTATTTTCAGGCCCTTTGAAGTTAATCGAAGGCAGGGTAACTTCATCCTAGTGTGCAATCTCCACGGAATTTTCACTGGAGCGGTATTGAGGTCATATAAGTGTAAGATTTGCATTGGTAAAATCAGTGCTTTTCAGTCATATTTGTATGCTGAAAACGTGTCTACCTTTTCTTAGAGTGAAGCCACAGTAATAATAGACCTACTTCCCTGGCCATTGAAGTGTAATGTATGTTTAGTAGAAGTCGTCACGAAGTAAAATTAACGACGTTTTCAAAGAGAGTGTTAAACCCCTAATTGCGCTACGGCCTCCAAAAGGCATAACACAATAGGGGCAAAGTAAAAACCTCTTTGATACAGTAGTTCATTTTTTGACTGGTTATTTTGAAGAGTCAACCATCAAAACCTGTCCCATGCATTCTATAACATAAATCCTGTATGTAATGTCAAACTTAAGACATTTTTTATTATGATAAACTAAAATTTAAAAAAATATGAACTCAGAACTTTGAAGGTGGTATCGAATGATAAGCCGTCTCTACAAACCCTCCGCTTCTATTTAATAAAAAAAAATATAGAATGTATATATATTAGGAAATTACCTTTTACGGGGAAGAATTTTATTCGTCTGTAAAAATGAATAATCGGCTTATGCAGAAATTCTGCCCATAAAGCGAACCATGCTGCAGGCAACGGTAATCTATTAGAAAAAAAAAATTTTTTTACGGCTGCCGCTTTACGGAAGTTTTCAAGTACACTATTCAACTTTATGACCATTTCAAATTTAATGTACATTTATACAAGATAAACTGTCTTTAGTTCGTTGTGCTGTGGCAAAGTTAAGTTGCTGCCGTAAAACGTGTGTTTAAGGTTGCCTGAGAATTGGGGCATTTTACATCATAGCCTTTGGGTAACGTGCGATTGCGTGATATTCCTTAGAAAAATAAGACACAGAAAATAGGTTTCGTAAAAATTTTTCAGCGTTATAAGGCGATGCGGTCTACAGACAGACGACTTCGTCAATTAGCTTTTCTTTATTCGAAGTCATTTAAATTGCATTAATGTCTTATGTAATGACAAGTAAACATCCTCGCAAATAGCTACCAATACAAATTTTCCAATTTATCAGTCGACCGTTATAATATAGTACAATAACGTAGACGAATAAACCCTTGTTGTAAACCCATAGTAATGCCTAGTTTCGGTGGTACTTTGGATCCGACAAATGCAAGTTTATGGGTTTAGGAAACACTTTTGGCGTTCATTAGTTAGAAGTTTTAAGAATAACTTCGTCAAGGTTTGTAAAAATCATATTGTTATTCATCTTATACCGTTTGTACAAGATATCAGTGCAAACAAGCCAGAGTGAAGTATATCCGTAGAATAAGGTGTTCTCTAAACAGGTAAAAAATGCAGGTACCGATCTAGAATACCTTCAGCTATTAATACCTATTATCGCAAAACACACGCCTATCTCCACCAAACTTAACCGTACCTTTTTCCTATTACAATTTGAAACACTCACTATTAACGCTTTATCAATCTAACTTACTTTCGTTTTTACAGTGCGCATAAATGTCATAGGAACAGTCAAGCAATGCTGTCATGAAAGTTACTGAGTCGAATTAAAAATAAACATGGTCCTGTTATCCATGTAGGGCATAACTTCTGTCATAGATGCCTATCAAACTTCATCACAGCCAATTTAAAACAGTACCTTTAGATCAAAATAAATTAAGCATAACGTTGCTTTACACGAACTTGTGGAAAAACGTGCAGTAGAAAATGACACCTAAACCTTAAAACTTTTTGGAATCACTTTCGAGAACATCGATGTTGAAGTTCTGAATAAGGATGACTGTGTCCCTTCAGAACGCAAAAAAAGAGGGTTCAAAATGCATTATCCTTGTTTCAGTTTTCGATAATTGGTCAACTCGAGTGCTGTGTGTACGAGCTCTTAATGCTGTAAGGGGTGCTGTTTCTAGACGTAGATTTAACTTCAAAACGGGGGACATTCTTTGATAACAAAAAAAAAAATTGACCAGCCAAGACGAACATAATCGGCAGCTTATCTCCTCATAATTTTTGTGGTTTCATTCAGTTGTGCGTCCCATTATTATTTGTAAAGCAAGTATGGGCGCTGCAAGTATAATAACAGTTTATCCTAGCTTTTCGGTATTTTACGTTTTTTTCTAGCTATCGTGGTCAAATCTTTATCCAAAGCAGTTTTTATCGAATCTGGTTAACAACATTCGTATAAATATATTGACCATGATTAAAAACGTGCCACCGCCGACCCACCATGTCTGTGAAAATATCCACGAACAGTGTGGGTAATAGATTTGGTCGGTTCCATAGGCCTCAACTGCAACCCAGTGTGGAGAAGTCACGGAGAGATCTTCCCGCGTAAAATTTGAATTTTGGCGCGTGGCCGCCCCGAGCATGCGACAGTGCCCGTCCAAGATGGCGTCCCCACAAGCAATGTTTTGTGCTTAGCCCTGTGCGAAGCGATTGGCGACGTTTGCGACACGCTTTATGAGTGAAATTGGGCAAAATACGGAAGACGTGCAGCCGTAGGGGACCCGCCGAGGCCGAGGGAGTCTGCTGGGGCCCCTGTGAGACGAAATGGCTGGAAACACGTGACGCGAGGTGAATGTGTGGCCCAGAAGCTTCGGGCCTGTATGCTTGTTTTGGTTGTTCGTTAGGCTAACCGCTTACTCGCGGCGCCGCTTCTGTGGCAAAAATCTAGCAAAACACCGAGAAATTCGGTGAAAGTGGTCGTGTTATGAGAAGCGTCGGACCAAATCGGGGTCCGGCTACCGTGGATTACGTGCTCCCTAAGCTCGGATACCTTTTTTAGTGTATTGGTCGCTCTCGAACACCATACATACGCACAGCGAGGCTGGTGAATTGATTTCAACGATTTCTTCAAATTTCGACACGTTTTTAGCGCAGTCGCCCATAGGCGCATTCTATCACGAAACCTATTGGTCAGCTGTCATTGCTTAGATAGATAGATGCTATGAGATAGACGCCGATTTTAGCGTTGGCGGGTGGTCGCAAATCATCGTCATCGTAATAATAATAATATCGTTTAGGTCTCGGCGAGAGCAATTCTTCACCCACCCCCCTTCCCCCGCCACCCCGCTCAGCCTATAATATATTAGTAGCAGTGGTCGGCTTGTCGGCGCGGTATCGCTAGGCATAGGTGTGTGTGGCATAAACGGGTTTCTGCTAGTACCTCTGTTCCATCAATTTGAAATTTTCCCGGCAATCGATGTTGAGTTGTTTTCTTGCCGCGTATCAATACGAATGTCGAATAGACACCGCACGCAGAGGTAGACACGCACCTCGTCTGTGCGGTGACTGTCGTACACGAACGCTGCTCCCAGGCAACATTCGCCGGCGGACCGGGCAGAGTTTGGCGCCAGTTTCTGATGATCTCTTCGCTCTCTCTCTAAACGAGTTTAGTCGTGAATCGTGCCACTCACGAGAGAACGTGGTGCGCTGCTGCTGTTACCGCCGCCACTTACTGGTGCTGCCTTATGTTACAATGATTATGATGATGGTGGTAGTAGATTTGTTATGTTACGGTGTCGTGTGGCCTGATGGTGCGCTATAATTGGCGTGTGTGTACCCTGGTGCTTACTTGCTCTCTGCCAGCTTCTGTTCGATTGTTAACGAACTGCACTAGTTCTGTTCCATGGCTGGATACTGACATCGGTATATTGGTGCTGCAGCCCTCGACTGATCCTGTAGCAGAATGACGGGCGCAGACGAGCACGCCGCCCTAAAGATTGCCACCAACCACCTCAGCCGTCGTTACTGCCATCAGTCATAGCCCCATCGGCGCCAGCATAGAACGACAAAACAACGTCTTGATGATGATGTATATGGTTGCGAAGCTCCTATTTTCCTTACTGTTGTTACTATTGTCATTATCACTATTATAGTAGTTATTGTCAGTGTTGTTGTTAATGTATTGTATACTGTAACTTCTGTCTGCGCTGCCAGTTTTTATTTTTTACGGGATGAAGTTAAATGACTGTCGCGAATGAGCTTCTGGATACACTAAAAGCAAAGAGAATACAGAAGCTGCGCACGTTTGTTTAGAAACTAACCCTCAACAAGACACCCCACCCCTGAGCCAGCCAATGATTGCTGGAATAAATAATGCTGAGGCATTTTCTGATTGTATTTTAGTATAGATGTATGTTAACTTGTTAATACTTTGATAGTTTTATGTTGTTAGATAGGTAATTAATAAAAGAAAATGCAACATCGAGTTTCTTTTCAGTACTCGAAAGAATTGCCAAACTTTTATTTAAACAATGTTGGTAAAATATACACTATCTTTGGCACTCCGTATCTCTAGTGACTTTCAGAACCCACAGCCACAGTTAAGTTTGCTCAGGGTCAACACATACTCGGTACGTACGTGCGTATGCCGATAATTGATCATATATAGAGGAACAAAGCTGTGGGACAATTAGCTCTCGGCAAGCTGTCGATAAATATCTCCGTAGTTGTTTGTTTGAAAACCTGGGAAACGTGATGGTGTAGGTTCGAATCTGGGCACGAACAGTTTTTTTGCGCTGTAAGCCACCCGTCTAAAGTAATGGATAAGACAAATCGTTTGTCTTGATTTGCGCCATATTTTCGGCGGCGGTTTGGTCAGTTGTTAAATGGTGGTTACTGGCGTGGTACTATTACCTATCACTGCTTGAACGTGCATTTCGTAAACCCAATTACGTTGAAGCCGAGTAACATATTTTCTGATTGATTACTGAAAAATGACTCGATCCGTTGATCATCCTTCGGTTAGCTGGAAGTCATAAAGAATAACTTACGCTTTTATGTTCGTAAAATCTATCAATTCCTGCATTTTCGTATGGGACTTGAGTAGTTCAAAGTCGTCTCTAAGGCCGAAAATGTACTTTGGAAAACACTGAATATGGAAACGTCCTTTTTGCATTTGTATCAGTTAATTATTCATGAGCCTACGATGTGGTTCATTGGTTAAGCTTATTATATCATTTTGCGTGTGATAGATTATTTGCTGTTGTAGTATTTACAAGCTAATAATGATTTATTGCTAATTTTTGTTATTAGAGACAGGGTTGAAAAATCGACCGTCAATAAATGCCTTTTGACTGTTTCAGTCACAGAGGGTGGAGATTTTCAGTCATGGCGAGTAAAGAGTGGTCTGTTTTTTATAGGATTCAAAACTTATATTAAATTTCAGCGAGGTTTGACGCGATTTTGATTATCATGCCTGTTCTAAGCTGGCGACCTAAGACTATCGAAACAAGTTTTGAATGTTGTAGTTGCTCAAGATACGAGAACTCATAACACAGTTTAATTGTGTCTCTGAGGAAAATATATATAGATGTATGGGTAATGAGAGAACGATAAATTAATTAGATTTAATTCGATTTAAAATGCCGGCTTTGGCGAGCTTCAGCTGTGTTAATTTATGATAAAAATTTGGTGTACTAAATTGTCGAAACCAAACTTGTTCTGAGTGCCTATCGATTTTTATGGAAAGGTTTTATACATTTTACTTAGTAATTAGTAGGCAATCTGATTTTTATGTATCACCAATACAATGAGATCCACTTGTCGCTGGGCATTTTCTACTTTCAGCGAAAGCTTGGTGGTTAAGTGAGCAAGTCGGACAGTATATAATATCTATGGTATAGTATTCGGCTTTTGTGTTCACTTGTAAATCGAGATCCAAAAATTGACTATGGTGCCGTGAACGTTGTATTACATAGTAAACCATTTTTATTAACCATCCTTATTTATGCTAATGTTTTAGCAGACCTTTTCCTATGCGCACCTATGCACACTAAAATGAGTACGGGAAAAAGCTTATTATGCAAAAAGTAAGTCCCATGATAAAATGTACCACTCAGTATTCCCAATTTGTTTTATCGAAATTCGAGAGTGCTAAACACTTATGGATAGTGGCTTTGACTGTGAGTCAAAAAGAAGTAGGTGATTTGAACCTTCGTATTTGTAACAAAGAATTACTGTTATTCTATAAAAAGAGAGTTACGGCTAAACGTAAAAAGCAGCGCCTTAGGTTACATGAATAGCTCGAGTCAAAAAGCACCGCCATCATCACCATGTAATAGTTACAAAACATCTGGCTGCCACCGATCGGTTTGCTCCTGATGATAAGAACATGACTCATGATCCAACGAACGTGTTTTCGAGTTGAGATAGTCACGGGCAAAATGTCATTTTGCCCGGGAAAACTCTTCAGTGGCACTGATGCGCTGCTGTCACTTGTCAACCATGTACCACGGTTCGACAGCACTCGCAGAGCTCAAGCATCACTCTAACGTCCACGTATTTTGATTAGAACATGTACACCCGTAAAATAGATTATATAACCGATTGAATTAAATTAACTTTAATTAGTATCATGTAAATTCACAAAACCAAAACCTTATTCGTATTCAAACAATCAATTAAAACACGGAACGAAGTCGGCAAGAATGAATTGTTCTGTTAGAATATCGACTGTTCCAACAAGTTCGAATAGGATGATAAACAAGCATAGCTTGACTTAATAAAATAATCAAGACGTCCAAATTTCTATGGCACCTTTTAAAAGTAACATTTACATCTATGGTACCAAATACTCAAATGTAAAAATATTTTCAAATCAAAACACCACGAAAAATTTACAGAACATTTTGTTTTTGCTAGTCTTGTTCCGTATTTTAATTGATTATCAGAATATGCGTATTGTTTTGGTTCGATGAAACTAAATTATTATTATCATCAATCGTATCCATTACCTTCGTTAAGGTTAAAAGATCGCCAGAAAAATTGATTTTGTTGTAAAAGTTGTGCCTCGTCAATCTGTGGGTCCCCTAGAGGAGTAATTTTCATCAAGTCAAGCGGTTTTAATGGGTTGCCAAAGCATACTGGTAGCGTCAATTATTCGCAGACTATTCGATAATTTTACCCATTTTTATCGACACATCCCGCCTTGTGAATAACTGGAGATGCTGTTTCTTTTAGACATCTACGAACCGTTGAATTTGACTGGGTAAATCTGTTCAGCCCCACTTTTCTTTGAAGCAAGTTGAACAGATAAATATGGATGGAACACTTACGGGGATTTCTTTCTGTTCGCTTAGGTAAAATCACAATTAAACTACTATTTGTGGAAATAATTTTTCCTGTTTGTGTGGGACCTCAAACAAGACAAGCTTAACAAAGCTAAGAAGCTTACATTTCCAATTTTTGTAATTAATGCCTATCCTTAATTTCTCGTGGAGTGGTTGGTTTTTTAACGTTTCTCACTTAACATTTAATTTCCGACATATATGTCCATTTGAAAGGCCTTGTTTACCTCAAGTTTCAGATCTATCGATACTAAGTTCGTTTCATGTTTAACTAATAAAATGCTTACATGACTGGTTTGCTTGTAGACGGGTAAGGCTGTATTGCTGTCTTGCATCGTTGTTTTTGAAATCTATAAATATAGTTAAATGACAGCGTGGTTTAGTAAAAACATACATAGTTACTTATCATTTGAGACCTTAGTGAGAAACTACAGAGCCAATTTAGGATATGAAACAGTTGTTTCTTTTTTGAAAAAAAGAATTTAATAGACGAAGCTATTTGCTTCGGTTAAATTAACTGAGATGGTTATGTCTCACTTTGGGTAATGGTATCTGTTTTATATGGTGTCGCGTCTAATGTAATCTTATTTTCAACTAGTAACTTAAAGAATCTTCAAATCGAAAATAAACATGTTGATAATAATCATACAGTTCATGCCATAGTCACTGATTATAGCGTAAACGCAACGCTTACTATTTCTTTTATCGAAGTAGTTATGCTAAGATAAACGAAAAAATTTATTTAATTAACTAAAAACTTGAAAAAGACAAATAAAAAACATAAAGGGGATAAAAAGCTGAATTATTTCTATGTATTGCTATATCTATCCAATTATTATCAATTTTTATGTATTTTATTATCATTGAAGAATGCGCTAAAGGTATTGTGCGGGTAGTACTTTATTCAAGAAAATTGACCTACAAATGGGTTATCACAACATCCTCCGACAGTGCCAGGTTTGCTTGATGTCATGGCTATACAGGAGCATCTTTTGTTATGCCTCTGGTAATGTTGATGCGCATAGAGCAGACGAATGAGGAGTATTATAGAACGGGCCTGGTACACTGAGACAGAGCGAGAAAAGTACAACGAGATGAATATACAATGCATAAGTAATTACGAATACGAAAATTGGTAGACGCAACACAGCCACGTTTCAATGAAGAAAAAGATCGAATGAGTGCTTGCGCCTTTTATATACCGGCGTAAATGCTGAACAAAGCAATGTACGCTTACTGTCGTGCGGAGTTCATGACCGAACCTTATCTAGCACTCATTTTATACTTGAGTATACAAATTAAACTGTAGGCGTATGAACATGAGTATTGTTGATTTTTAACCAAATATGACTATTCTCGTTCTACTATATTGCAACGACTTCGCTCATTTGGAAGGAATATTTGCTCTCTATAGGATCGTTAAATCTTGCTTCTGCCTTAAGCATTTATTCGGAATTACTAGCAAGTATTAATTATGAATATAAATGGTTTTACGTTGTTCAAAAAGTCTTAAAGAATTTGTAAAGTTCGAAGATAGCTTTTGTTGGCACTAAAACCTCATATAAAAAGGCTTAGTGGTTTTAGAAGGGCAACATATTTTTCTAACTTTAATTGTATTTATTTTTTTATTTAACAATGGTACCTCGGCGGGGCCACTCGTGTTCATTGCTATAATTTGGATTTTTTTATTTTCTCACGAACATACTATAGTGTATACCGATAGGTTACCTGACCTGGTAATCCTCAGAGGCTTTTTATACAAAAGGTTTAATCTTCCGTAGATAAAGCCTACGAGGATAAGTTTGTCGACGAAATGACAGTGATTGCTATGTACCATACGCGCTGCTTAGTTTATTGTTGTATGTCTTGCAAATAGTTGAGTTAGTAGTGGCGTTATACGAGATCTATAGGTATTTCAAACTTTCTTTTATTGTAGGTCTCGACTTTTGCAACTGGAGTATTAGGCTGGATAAACCTAAAGCAATGTTTTACAAATCCTGAACTCATAATTTTATTTGATCTGAGCAATGATAATGCATTAGCAATGCAGGTACCGATTGAAAGCTATTTTGCAGAGATAATTGTATAAAATCATGTGTCCCTTTAATTGATATGTAGTTTCTATGGCGCAATGCGATCATTCATCCTGACAATGACGCTGAAACGGGCTGCGCACAAATACGAATATGGATTCCATCAGGTTGTTGGCAGCGTACTTCATTTTTTAAACAAGTCCGATCCTTTGAAAACCAACGAAAGAGCCAGCTTTATTTTCAACGATTATAGTCTAAGTATTATAGCAAATAATTCCACTAACTGGACTGATCTCATTATGACAGGTTTCAAAAGTGTTTATTATCACGATACAAGAACTCAAAAAATTCGGAAATTACTAAGAGTTGATGTGAGAGATGTCGGGGATTTTCTTTGTAAAATGATGTTGTTTGCAAATAAGTTTTGTGGACTTGATTGCATATCTGTGAAAAGTGTAGTGCTTACCATTGTAGCTTTTGGTTGCGACTGTCTTCTATAATGATTCTATAATTGCTTATTAACTAATGCATACAGGGGAGAACGATAGCCTGTGCGAATACTCTATAGAAAACATTAAGTATCTGTTGCAAGGTATCGACTAGAATTGCAAGGTGGTAACTAGGCAGACTACTTCTGGTGATTGTCGTTCGCTGGAAATGTTCTATAGGGAGGACTACCGTATGAATATGTGTATTCTGCACGTGTATGGTGTCGCAACGGTTCAAGTAAAACCAACAACGTCGTAAAAGAGTAATACACTAAGAATGTGTTTTGGATATTAAAACTTGTTTTATAGAAATATCCGCAGTCCTACAACAAATTACATCGACAATGACAGTTATAGTTCTTTTTATTCATTTTGTTAAAGTATATTCATTATATTGTGCAGTTCATCATTATTTTCCTACCTGAATAAAATTCATCCATATTGATGTGCCATGTTTTGGGCTCAAACTCGGTCGAGTGATATCTTTATTAAGTTTTATTTACGACCTCCGTTTAAAATCGCCTCCAAGCAGACCCTATAATCAAGATTAAAATAAATTTACCCGCTAATCCCTTTTTCTTATCCGTTCATGCTATTGAGCGTCAATTTAAGCTGAGAGCTACAGGATGCTGGTCAATGGCATAGAGTGTACATTAAAAAAATCTTTAATAGTTGAATTCAGCTGGAAGTAGCAGATTCGAAAATAAGTGCTTGAAACCAATTTGTCGCTTGACGATACATTTCAGTAATGGTGAGCAAAACCAAGTATTTTGCAGGATACCTTACGAATTTGGGTAATTTAAATGGACTAGCAATGTTTACCACTGATTGAATTTTTATTTATTTACCTTGGTGGTAACTTATTAATAGGCACTTGCTAGGTTCCTAAATTTTAGTTGATGTACACCCATATATAACAAGTATAAACAGATAACCATTCGAAATTAACAGGAACTGTGTTTTTTGTTTTTGTTTGTGATTTTACTACAGATGTTACTGTGTCGAGCAAGTTCAGTATTGTGCGGGGGCGTAGGGGAGCCCAAGGGGCTATCGGGGGAGCAGTGATGACCTAGGAGAGTGCCGACAGGCGGACGAGAGCCCCTCTCGGAGGCATCTCCTACCCGCTATTCAACTTACACTCAACAACAACAACTACAGTGGAAATAACCATAGCAACAACAAATACAGCACTCCGGTCGGAGTCGTGCAGAAGGAAGACAGTTGTGGGAAATACACCCGGGCGTTAACGCAAATAACAGAAATCCTCACTTCGGTAAGGCCATCTTCATCAGTCGATTGGCCAGTCATCTGTCGCACCAACGGCAACTCAGCAGCCTACCCTGGAGTGACCGTAAACGTAACTTCCTATCTAGCTGCTTTTGGTCGCTGCCTTATAAAGGCATTTTGTGATTTTCTTTTTCTAACTGCTTGTGCTGAAATTGCTGTTGGTGACCACAACCATCCGGCAAGATGTCGAAGTTGTCGTTCCGTGCTAGGGCGCTGGATGCCACTAAGGCGATGCCGGTCTACCGATCTGAAGAGATTCCTGATTTGCCTGATTTTGCCGCTATCAATCGTGCCGTTCCGCAGATGCCGACCGGCATGGAGAAAGACGAGGAGTGTGTAAGTATTACGGGATAATTATTATTTCGCTTTATTGATCTGATATTTTTGAACATAGATTCAGAGAGACTACTCAAACTCGCGTTTTGAAAGACTTTTTCACGCCGCCGAAGTATGCTTGTTCTTTTGCATCGATTGACACATATATTTATAAATAGATCTTGAAAATCTTTAACATCTTTAATTGAATGCACCTATTTGTTTTAAATTCCTTCTTTTTTACTAACTCAGAAGCTCATTCCCTTGTGCGGGTGTTCGCCTTATGCCGTATTATTGTATTTTACAGGAAACGCATTTGCAGCGCGCGATGACGGCTCAGCAAACGTACGGGCACACTGGCGAGCTTGTCATTCCAACGCCGGACGTGTTTCCTTTAGAAGCGCACGTCCACGACAAGCTATATCCTTCAAATTTTAAGCTGCCTAAGCAGCTAATCTATGTACAGCCGCTATTAGCGGGGTTGGATGATGACACACCAGAATATGATTTGGACAGCGAGGATGAGGCCTGGCTAAAACGACAGAATGGTGTTCGTGACGGAAGTTTCAAGCTAAGTGCATTGCAACTCGAGACGATGATTGATCGGCTTGAAAAGGCCTCAGGCGGCCATCGTGTCGTTCAGATGAACGAGGCTAAACTTCTTCTCAACCATGATGATGATGTTCTTATTGCTGTTTACGACTACTGGCTAAATAAGAGGCTAGTATTTCCGGTTCATTGTGTTTAACATAGATGTTTACAAAACATAGAGAATACACAAATAGTATTTTCCTTGGTGTTTGTCGTGCCTGTTATAGGTTATCTAATACATCTCTAGGCATTGACAATGAACAGCGATTCCTTTAAAGGAACGTTTGAAACGTTAATACATACTTTAAGCATCTAGAGTTCTAATACATATACCGCCTTAATCTACACGCAAGTCGTAAATAGAGATGAGTTCATTGTTGGGTTCTTGTATGTTACTGGTTTTACAGGTTAAAGTTAAAGTCTTCGACGTTAACGCCTCAAATAAAAACGGAAAAGCGCGACGGCTCGAATTCAGCTAACCCGTACGTAGCATTTCGGCGACGAACAGAAAAGATGCAGACACGAAAGAATCGTAAAAATGATGAGGCGAGCTACGAGAAGATGCTCAAACTCAAACGGGACCTCAAAAAGGCGGTTACTCTCCTTGAGATGGTCAAAAAACGGGAAAAGCTCAAGAAAGAAGACCTCAATCTCACTGTTGAGGTATGTTTTTACCGGATCTGTAGCACTCATTTATATCCAACTCTAGATGTTAGATTTATAATTTTCTTCTTGTATGAAATTGTTGCAAATCAGTGAAGACAACTTATATGCAGAAGCTGACTATTAAATACTTAGCCAAGTGCTTTCACCGTTACAGTAACAATGGCAATATTGACAGGTGTTCAGAGAGCGGGTGCAAGCGGGTGATTTCAACGGGGCGTTGGTAGCTGAGACGTTGCAGGAGCTCGCACGGAAGAAGCAACAGATGCAACTGGCTCAAGCGCGGGAACGGGAACAACTACTGGGTATTAGTCTAAGCTCTGGAGGCCGAGGCGGCGCGGCAGCAGGCCGGAACAGTAATAACAGTAATAATAATAACAATAATAATAATGGATATGCCGGCTCTGCAGCTAATGCGCACCAAATTCGAGAACTCAAGGCTAAGCACCGAAAGGTAAAGGTCGTCTTTCTATCTAATCTTAGTTCTTGTATGTTACCTATAGTCATGTTTATGACTCAATTAATAAGCATTCCATATGTATGATACCTCCTTAGGATTTTCCTGATACAGTTTTTAGGTATTGATCTAAAGTAATAAATGTGATTAAGTGAATCTTTTGAAATTTTTAGCCAGTCAGCCATATCTAGCCTCACCCCGTAATTTTTTGTAGAAATAAGGTTGGACTACGTTTTTTGCTTAAGGTGGACTGCATGTTATGTGAATTAGCCTTGTACAATACAGGACGTAGGGTAACATGTGAATGATCCTACGTATATAGAAACTTTCGTCGCAAATTACCTATATAGGCGGCATTATTATACCTAACGAATCATGCAGTCCCTTTTGTCTATAAACAAGATGTTTGCATTTATTCGCGCTTCTGTTTTTCCGTTGCGTGTGTTGCGAATAGACCGCGCAGGGACCGCGGATATCGTCGTCTTCGCACAAACGGCAAAAGGATCGAGGAGCTGCGAGCGCGACCGACACGCGGTTAGCAGAGCATCCGAGCAATGGAGGAGCTGGAGCCCCAGGAACGGCGCTATTAACAACAATAGGGCGGGAAGCACGAACTGTTGAAACATCGGGACGCTGTCCTTTAACGACGACGTTAGGAGGAAGCCCAGGGACGGCCACTCCTACACCTACAACGACTGTGGGTCCGGCCGGACTAACCACACAAGGGACACCGGGACAGGGTGGGCAGATTCCGGCCGACTCCGCCTCAGTAGGACCTTTGGGACCTATGCTACTTTCGTCAGACGAAGATGATGATGAGGCATTATCTTCCGGTGCAGAAGAACGGGCTGACGCTTACACCGATATGAGCCATGAACCGGACGGCATCTTTACGTTCAGGTTGGCTTCAACAGCCTTTATTGCCCAGTTTATTGTCAACTACTGTGTCTGTTTCGTATATATATTTCATACAATAATTTGGGTCATTCGTAATCGATGGGCCATAAGTAACATACAGATGCGCAATGGAGAGGGTCTAATCAAATAATAATGTATGTCGGATACGTGTATTATTATTATGTTTAAACATTTGATATAGGTTTGTTATATATTTTGGGTGTTTCGTTATGTTTAGTTGCTTCATCCCTTACTACGTTCTCTTTTTCACGTTCCAACTTTCAGACGAAAACGGAACGTCACGTACCTGGCGCCATTACCGTTCGAAACAACGTTGCCACCACTGCCAGGCGATCCGAATCTACCACCTCCTCTGTCATTGCGGCCGTATGAGCAGGTTCCACGGCAAGAACAGTTCCACCTAATGAGTTTGCAGCTCGAATCGGATGACAGCGATCTCAGCGGCCATGAAGGAGATGACTCTACACGAAGTCAAAGTCATTCGCTAATACCCCGTCTGGACGAAGCGACGGCACGAAGGCGAGCGCTTGCCGTTGGACCGCAACCTCGCGACGGTCAGGAATACTTTATGACATTTAGTGGAGTACGGGCTCGGGCACTTTCTACGCTGCCACGACCGGCTGGTGAGGCTGGTGTTAAACGAAAGCGTCTAGACACGAATTACCTCACATTAATGGGTAGACGACGCCTAGGCCGGGGAGGACGTATTGTCTTTGACCGGATCCGAATGAGCAGCCCAGAAGCTAGTCCGTAGAGCCTGCAGGCGTTCAGTTGTCATTTATTTAGGTGCCCCTTGTATATGGTTGAAAAGTGACTAGAGACGGGGGGACGGATGAAGACATTGCGAAGAAATCGAAGACATTCTTTCATTGTCTTTTAGACAAAGAGAATGACAAAAAGAAGAATAGGGTGATGCACAGTCCCACTGACCAGATGATGAAGGTGCTTCTTGCCGTTGCTGCACTCCACTTGCCTCGCAGAACGTTGAGGCGAGGTCATAGAATTTCAGGAGAAGAAGAAGACGACGACGACGACGACGACGACCACGAAAAGGATATGACGGACATCTGAAGATCAATTCAGTGAGAGAACAGCAGAGAAACTGGAAAGAGAAAAAAACGGCCTAACGAAGGTATGGAGAAGAAAATGCCTCTGTCTGGCTAAAGTACAGTGTAGATGTAATAGTGTACTATAAGAAAAAAAGTAATCGTAGAAGTGGTAGAATACTTCATCGCTTGGTGCGGTGATGTTGGTTGGCGTGCACGCACTTACATTGACTTTACGGAAATGGAGGAATCTGGAGAGAGAAAATCTCACCTGAACCGGGTACATATTAATATAGAGATTGATAAGATCAGGGAGTTTCCGTCCCGCCTGTTCAATGCGATAAAGGGGGGGAAACACTGAGATTGTTGGCGTAAACGAAACATGGAGGGTATGGACAATGACGACGACAACAACAACAACAACAACAACAACCACTACTACTACTACAACAACAACTACTACTACTACTACTACTACAGCTACAACTACTACTACTACTACTACTACTACTACTACTACTATTACTACTACTATTACTACGGATCGCTTTGGCTGTTAACAACAATCAATTTGTGATATTCAACCATTACATCATCATCATCATCGCAATCATCGCCATCATCATCATCATCACCACCACCAACAGGGACACTTGATCGTCGTCAGAATCATTAGCCATTAATAACATAAAGCGCCACCACACCATAGAGACACACACGCGCAGGCAGATGCAATAGAGACAACAGTACATAACAACGTTTTGTGAACATTATTTTGCACTCGTCATCCAACAAACAAAATCGCATATATAAATAGACAGGCAGGCAGATAGGCCAACGAGAACACCGAAAAAAAAAAAACAAATAGAAGCCAAATCACTCGATTTGATTATTGATGATAGAACAATGAACGAATTATTGATGTGATTTGGTTAGGTGAAATCAATAATTCGTTGATATATATTGGATCGCATCGATTGATGAATAACTAAGCAAGTGAGGAAAAATCTGTGAATGAATGGTAGTGATGGATCAAATCGGTGTGTCGTTGGGTACACGCGAAGGATGCGAGCTATTTCAATATGCTTAGGTTAGGTTAGGGTGCATCATTCAAAGGATTATCATAAAATAAATTCCTGACTCCCACGAGTCACACGTAACAAAGGCAGTACGGAAAGCAACGTTTAATAGTAAAAAGAAAACGAACGACTAGTAATCACAGACCATAAACAGGCAACTAGTACCCTCTGAGTAAATTCTTGAAAGCATCAGTTCAGCACTATTAAATTTGTTTATGTACAAACGGACAGACCAGCCCAAGAATCTATGAAAATTACAGTTCACAAACGACAGCAATAGCAGCAACTACAATAGCCCAAAAATTATAAGCGAAAAAGCTGTATCTAAAAAAAAAAAGCGATATAGAAACGATAGAGTAACGTTCAAATGGCTAAACATAACAATATCTGGATATAATAGTGTTATTTATTCATGGCCGTCTATTGATCGAGGTCGAATAATAATTCGCAATAATATGGCTAAATCCGGCTTTCACTAAAATTTGTAATTAAAAACATCCAGTTTCTCTACTGGGCGCGGATGATGATGACTAGCTTTAGCGTATGATCAGAGTTCACTATACAAAGAGGGTTGAAGTATACAAAAAGAAAACAAGAATAAGATAACTGTTTAAAAAAATTATGTAAGCAAAATTGACAATTAAAATTTAGATATGGAGCAGGTTACATGCAATAACACACGCTGACGTTGCCTCTTCGAATGTAATGGGAAACAGACCACTCTATAAAGAACCTGACGCAAATAATGCCTACCAAAACGACAGATCACATATTCGAATATAAATACAAACGACCATTTCAAATTTCATACATGCACATCTATCGTACAGCCACAGTTGCATATAGACACCTCCCGTCCGCACAACAATCATTGAAACCTAATGAATGGCATTATTGAGCATATTGGACACATGGCATGGTAACCTAACTGGTTTTTGGACGAACACGTCCAAGTAGTTATATGCGTAGATAACCGATAACAATGATATTGATGATCCCAAGTGGTTCGACGATGATAGTTTTTTGTTGCCGCTGGCTCAACATATTGTTTTACGCAGAGCGTTGATGAAGAGCCAGCCAATAACACAGATGGCATGGCACAGTAAACGAAATTACAGTGAACGTCCATTAAGTTTCGAGGTGTTCTAAGCATAGATGTTTGAATGTGTGTAAATGCTCATGTGTATGTACGATCAACGATGCCTAGCTTCAGGCGAAAGGTTCATTCTCATTTTGTTGGAATTTGTGTACAAATTTAGGTTCTTCCTATTTTATAGGCATCACACGCACACAGATGGACAGACATACACACACAACTATACACAGTACGGATACGCAGGCGATGTGACACAAAAACTGTCACATCTTGATCGTTTCTTTTGCCTAATGACAACGAAGAAGGCACTGGACAGCTGTTTTGTCACCTACAGTCAAGTAGTATTTAGTTACACTCTGCGAGCAAAACGGATCCGCCTACTCGGTGGCGCTTCACTTTATCATGCTTAGCTTTCTGTTTATGCACACTGACATGTGGGATAACAAAGAAAATGCCATGGCAAGAATGTAAAGTTGTTAAAGTATTTTTGAGGGGATTGCAACACAAGGAAACGGTAATTCGCATATGGGAATCTTCTGATTCTGTCCAATACGTACAACGATAATCGTCCTACTTCAAGAAGAATTAGCCAAACAAACAGTTTCATTAACATGCACAGGCCTTAATTATTCTTTACTGGTCTTTTCTTAATGAAATATAGACAGCTACCACTAGAGATAACCAGTATCATATGGAGTAGATGGTGCGCTTGGTGATTCATAGCGACGCTTGTTTCCGTATTTATTTGAGAAACTTCGCAAACGAACTTTGCGTATGCTAGCAAACAAAAAACGGAAAGCAATATCCTTACGACGGGGGAAAGATAGCAACTCCCTTTTTACTGGCTTTGTTCCGGGTTCGGCAGATTGGCCTTCTTTAAAAGGTGCACCTAGTTTTTGCCTGTTTTCTTTGTTCTTTATATTTCCTATTGCTCGAAATCGCCACATAGTGGAACAATTAAGAATGACATGCGTAGTGTATATTTATATGCAACTCACGGTGATACTATAAGGGACACTATGAGATGGATTAGTAAAATAAAGACTGGCTTCAAAGCAACAGAGAGATGAGGGCATTCAGATGTATACCTCTCGCTCGACGCTAACGACTCTTTCCCTCTCGTTTCAAGATCTGATGAAACAAAAATAACATGACAATAAATCTTTGAACAGTTCTATTTAATTCACTTACCGACTAATTCAGTCACATGACACAATTGAAACGACCGCACCCTACCGTAGGCCCGACACATTGTCATCGTCGACAGATTGATACGACTGTAACATTGCTCTTGACAACTATAATGAGATAATAATAATTGAACGAACGTGAATTAAATGAAGTCCGCCTTTCAGGCAATCAATCTGTCTGTACGTTATGAAATTTTTATAAAAACAGTAACACGTTACTACTCTTCTACTGGACTAGATTATGCCATTTATTGTATGAAAACGGACTTCCATCGTTTTCTATGTTGGAGAAAGACGAAAAGCTTTCGAGAACTCTTTGTACCGAATGAATTCTTGTACTGTTTAAAATGAGAACACCAGTGGAGTTTGTGTGTTATATGTATATATGTGCCACCCGTGTTTGCTTATATATCGTCTCTAAATGAACGACAATATTGAGCAATGTTCAAACCGGAACAACCATGGCTTTGTCAAGAAAGACACGAAGGAACATTGGAAATAGACGCAAACGCATACAGACCTCTCAAATCAATTGTACCAACGTATCTGCTTACTGCAAAATTTCATACTCATTCTGCTTGTATAGTGTACTTGCTTCGTGTGATTGGACCGCTAATCACATGTAATGGTGTCATTATATGAGAACTATCTTCCGGCTGGCTGAGGTACAGGCGTGCATGAATTGCAACCCGAACAATTTATACCTTAAAAAAAAATTGTATAAGGTGCACTTTATTTAGAAATCTATTCTTCCAACAGCAGTATTCCTCTTGCTGAGCATGGCAGAAGCATTTTCTAAAATACGAACTCAAGGCATAAGAATCAATTGGCCGTGGAAGCATTCAGTGGCATGATGGTTGCGGAAAAGAGTAGGCGATACTGAGGTCTCTGCGGGCTTCAGGGTTACGCGCGAATACATAGAATGAGAATCTGATAAAATCAAACGACAAATTAAAGCAATTAATGTAATTAGGCGATGACAAATTAGTCGAAAAGATCACAAGTGATCCGACGAGTGACAGAGACAAGTATAAACCTGTAAAAATCGATAAGGTATTACATAGTAATAACAAAAGATTAATATCTATACTTCAGGCACGTATGACCGTAAGAAGACCGAGGAAGCGGTGCGATACTGATAGTTAACAGACAAAGCAAATTACGCAGACAGGATTGAATCGACATAAATACACGTACAATACGCAGAACACACTACTAGTCGCGCTAAATGATCGCCATATACAATACAGATAGATAACAATTTGTGACACATATTTAAGACGACAGAAATGAAACGTTAGATACAAGAGTATAGGGATGTTAACAATAATAACCTAATTATTATTAAATCGAACCTATGGTCAATACATATTAGCTCTTCGCTGAAACATGTTAAGGGGAAAAGGATATATCTTTCCCGAGGAGACGGCGGACGTTTAGTACTCTGTGCGGTTCCGCTGATAAGGAAATCACATCTACACATCCAGACACGAACGCACTCAAACAGGGCCCTCGACTTCAGGAGGCGAGGTCAAACATGTTATACAGGTAGTTGATGATAGTAATAACAACATGAAAAAATCGAAGAAGATGGGCGAAAAAGGGTGTTGTAGCATAGTAATGGTAAAAATATTAACAATTATAACATTAATAATAATGAAAACGATGGACGCATCGTTAGCTGCGTAAGCGTATGCGTTCAAAGCGCTCTCTCTTCTGTAGATTATCAGCAAAATGGAGAGAGAAAGAAGACATTACGTGTCGTCTATATATA